CATATTTACTTCCGGTTGTCAATTTCCTTCACGCGAAATAGTGTTCATAAGTTTGTTTACATTACTTCGCGTGAATCAGGCTGACATTGTTTCTTCTTTCAATTAATGGCTATAAAACGATTTTAATAACATAAGGTACGACGTTATTGAGAGATTCTTATTTCTATTTAAAAATTAATCACGATTTACACGTTCAAACACTCAACAAACGGATTCAACACGACTTCAACACGGCATGATTTCCGGTAGCTTCACTATCGAGACAATCATTCCGTCGGGAACACGAAGGTGACGTCATTTTCGGGATGTCGTTTTGAGTCTCGCGAAATAGCCTCTACCGAAGACCCTGGACGCCATTGAATAAGTTAGATATTTACGTCATATTTTGTTATTATATTACTTTCTTTATATTTTTTATCAAGTTATTCCCTTTTGTACAACATATTTGGATTGTGTCCAAAATTTCAAACTCCTCTCTTTTCCAGGAGAAAATAGGAAAACATTTGAGGCTCTTTACAGGTCTTAATGGCAGTTTGTATATCCTGGGGATATAACAGGTGTTTCAAAAATCTTCATGTATTCGACAGGTTTTGGCTCAAGCCATTATGGAAATGTTACGTAATTCTTTGCAGAACGGTAGGATACATTGGTTGTCTTGCTTGTCATTTTGTTTTCCCATTCTGTATTTCCCATTCATTATTCTACTTTCCATTTCTTATCCCATTTCTGACGTACCCTCTTTACATTCGCTTGTGAGATGTTAAAAGACCAATACAGGGTGAAAATCACCATGCGTTCATTCTTTCTCTCTATTTTTTCATATCTATTTCCATTTGTGCCATCTTCATTTAGTCACGTGACCCAGACGGGCACGCACAACAGGGTTACCAACAGAAGGATTATGAATGGTACATACGAGTGATGCATCTTTGACTGACACTAAAGTACCTGATGTATACTGGCAATAGTCTTTTTGCATCATTTCTGAGAAAGAATATAGTATATAAAGTCAATGATTACCGTTGTTTGCATTGCTACGCGGCCACCCAGATAAAAATCGCGACGTGCACTTTGCAATAGACTGCCGTCAATCAAACACGTTGACATCATTTACACGCGTGTGTGATTCAAAAGGCGCCAAAACTTCGGTCGATTGTTTACAAGTATTATGAGCCACACTCACCGGGCCTATCCGGGCCGATCCAAACGCGTGTAAATGACGTCAACGTGTTTAATTGACGGCAGTCTATTGCAAAGTGCACGTCGCGATTTTTGTCTGGGGTGGCCGCGTAGAAATGCAAACGCCGGTAAGAGGCATTAGCTTGTTACAAGTATAAACGCTAGGTAATATAAGTCATTAGAAGATGTTTGATAACTTGTTGGTGGTGAGCAGAGAGTGCAGGCAGACCTCAGAGCGAAGCAAAGGACAAGTGCAGGCTCTAAGCGAGGGACTTTGATCTTACTTGTTGAGTGATTCCAGTTTGCTACAAGTGCTGATCAAAGTGGTCAAGAATTCGTCTACGTCATTCTCCTGCCATTCAATAGCCTTGCAAGGTTCTATAAACTGAGAATTAAAAGGTTCAATATTACTGGGTGGACAGCAACCAATTAGAATGTGTAATGAAAACGATATGAGCCAAACGCAATATGAGCCAATCAGGAGCACGCAATGAAGACAAGATCTGATTATATCAGTATATTTCATAGGCGTTAATCAAGTGTTCCCATGGCCCATGCCTACACAGAGGCGTACCCGACACGAGTGAAAAACGTCTGCGCATGCCATGAATCCGTATGCAAATTAGTCAAAACATAAGTAAATTCGACTTTCAAACATGCCTGATAAATTGGACTTCACAAAATGCCAAAACTTAGTGTCCATGCTTGAAACTTAAGGCTAATTCTTTCATATTGTGTTTGTTAATACAGTATCTTGGTCTGACAAAAGTATACTCTCGAGTTTTTTGTATACTTGGAGAAAACAAACATTTATTTTCTCACTCAAATTCTTCAAAATTCTTAGAAAACGTGCTGAAGTGCACGCATGCGCAAACATTTTTCTCTAGTGTCGGCGTACCCAGGAGTTTTGTAAGGAAGGGTTCGAAAACGAGGCTGACCATGAAGTCGCACGTTGGCTATTCGTCTTGTGGGCTCACAGTTGTAAGATAAGGGGCAAGATGATGGAAATTTAAATCAAAATCACGGAAACGGTATTCGTGAATGTGTTTACTTATGGATGGTTCGGGAACCCTTGAAACGCTTCTTTGGGTACRCCCCTGCTACAAAATGTCATAAAAACGCCTTGATTGCCCAAAACCTACTTCATCACAACGCCGATTATGCGTGTTCTAACGAGAAGCACTTAAAAAACGTTTTAGGATCTTTTTAATTACTAAGAAATCATCTTATATTTGCATTTACCTTTTCAACAAAGTCATTAAAAATGTCTTTCAAGTCTCTACTGTGGATTAAGCTTGCAGCAATGTTGAGTAATGCACGGCAAAAACTCTACGAAGAAAATGACACATTTTTTCTAATTTTCCGAGAGATTTCTAAATGGATTTAGCTCACTAAACTAAATTAACTTTGTGTTGAATTATTCGACAGTACTTACTTTAAAGTTTGACTCAACTGTCGTTGAAAGTTTCGAATAGCCTTTCTTAAGAATCTCTTCACAGACAAGACTAAATAAAAAAATAGAACGAACTGATGATTCCCATTATTTCACTGCCTATCCTTCCTTCCTTCCTTGCTTCCTTCCTTCCTTTCTCTATTGGAAAGTGACAAATCACTCGCTTCCCCTTTTTTCACACACCATCTACCAAATTTCAACCAGTTTCTAGCTTAGACAAAGTGAAAAGCATATTGAAGTACGATGATTTTGTTGTACACTGTACCTTCTATGTTCTTCTACAATATCTTTATCGTTGACAAACACTTTGAGGTCGCGCAGATCTTGTAGAAATGAACGGTCAAATTCAACCCCTGTTTCTCCAACATCTTGACCTGGAAACAGTTTTTAAAGAGAAATAAATGCTCTATATTAGAGCATTTTCTTACGACTGTGAAACTACATGCCAAACGGCACTGTCACGATAGAAAATTGGTAATACCCTTAAAACAAATGGCACCTTATTAGTCCGTTGCTTAGCCAATTCAAAGTAATCAGATATACGAGTGAAATATCTAAATTGAACACGAGAAGATAAAATTCGTATCTCCAAGCGGCCATGTAATGTTCTGTTTATTATATAGATATCGATGAAACTTAAATAAAACAAAAGCTCAAAAATTCTTTATTAAAATAGCAAGCCGATTCAACAGCGATATCTTCACGTGTGAAAACTAAGAATTGTACACCATATTCCAGACTAAAAGACGGAAAAGACAGTTTTTCAATAGATTGCAATCAATATTTACTAACGTTTTTATTGTTTTTGTGCCGGCAGAAAGCGTAGCCTATTCGACAGGCAAAAATGACCAAATCGTTAACCCTATACCAGACTAAAATGATACCCTATCCCAGACAAAATGTCAAAAAATGATACCCTACCCCATACCCAAAAGCCGAAAAACCATACCCTATAGGGCGGCACATACCCGTATAGCAAATATAGGGGAGTACCCCCCCCCCCCCGGGGGGTAACACCCCTGGCTTTGTGAAACTTTCATCGCAGGAAAGTTTCACAAAAGCTAGAACTGCAACTGCGTTGCTTTCTACTCATTCGACCAAAGCTGGAGTCGTGAACAAGTTTCAGGACAAAATCGCTCCGTCCATCTAACAGGCCTCTTTCTTTGACATGTCCTGCAGTAAACAAGTTAATCAGAGCCAAACATTCCCAGTAAGCAGGAAATATTATGGCGGATGATATTGGTTTAACGAAAATGTTGCACCATGTAACACCCCTGTGAAACGCTTCTCGCAATACCGTTGCACGCAAGATTCAGCTAAAAGTTTCGACGTGTAAAAGGGCATTAATATGCATGTTTCAATACTTTTGGGTTTCTGATGGAAGGGGTATAGTATCAATCTACCTCTATGGGAAACAACACATCTATTTAATGGAACTACACACACCTGTACCACTTTCATCTGTGCCTACTGTCCAGTTTTCAATTATCTGTTCTGAACAGTAGGCCAAGTCATCAAATGTTAAGTACAACAGCCTAGGTAATACATGCAGATGATAAAAAGATAAAAAACATTAGATCTTATGCATTCTTGAAGTTTAGAACATTGTAGTCCCTGGTATCCTTGGGGAGAAAAATATAAACCCTCATCAGACCCTCCCCACCCCTTGGAAATTCCAATCCCCCTCTGTGGGGGAGGTATGGATATTTTCTGGAACTACACAATATACCCTCTTCAGACCCTCCCCACTCCTTGGAAATTCCAATCCCCCTCAATGGCAGCCTATGGGGGAAGTATGAATATTTCCTGGAGCTTCACAATATACCCTCCTCAGACTCTCCACACCCCTTGGAAATTCCATTCCCCTTCCATGGGAGAGGTATGTACATTTTCTAGAACTACACAATATACCCTCCTCAGACCCTCCCCACTCCTTGGAAATTCCATTCCCCCTCCATGGGAGGAGGTATGGACATTTTCTGGAACTACACAATATACCCTCCTCAGACCCTCCCCACCCCTTGGAAATTCCATTCCCCCTCCATGGGAGAGGTATGGACATTTTCTAGAACTACACAATATACCCTCCTCAGACCCTCCCCACCCCTTGGAAATTCCATTCCCCCTCCATTGGGGAGGTATGGATATTTTCTGGTACTACACAATATACCCTTCTCAGACCCTCCCCACCCCTTGGAAATTCTAAGCCCTCTTTGTTGGGGAGGTATGGATATTTTCTGGTACTACACAATATACCCTCCTCAGACCCTCCCCACCCCTTGGAAATTCTAAGCCCTCTTTGTTGGGGACCCTTTTTAAGAGTTGAAATAAGATTCCTACCTTTTTTTACTTATCTCAAATCTGTGTACTGCCATAAAGACTATACTTGCATATTGTCTGCAACAAAATTTTCATATACTTTATTACGCTCTACTCCTTTGATTTATTTACTGTGCTACGCACCATACCATGAACACTTCTACAAGTTTTTAATTTCTTTTTGACATCTTTTTGACAAGTCTTTAATTGTCCTCGTTACCGCTAACCAATTATGTTTTGTTGATTTACTGTGATGTTATGCTGGTCATGACAACTGCTTAATTAGTTGTACCTTAGTCATACCTGGTTTCTGGCTAAACATTAGTGGTCAAAATGGCCAGATTCAACCAGACAACTACCAACTATTCTGGGCAGACATTGTCCGATGTCCAGTTGTTATTTTAAGCCCGGGGTACCTAGTTCACATTTAACCTTGAAAACAGCTTTAAATTACTACTGAAAAATACCTTGGTGGTATTGTCAGTGAATGATGAAGTGAGATTACAGTACCTTGCTAATTCATCAGACAGAAGGAAGTTCTTCTTGATGATTTCTACCAAATTCCCATTTTCACTATCTTCAATTGTCCTGAACACATTCTTGACATTGTCAAACTATTAAAAAAGAAGAACATTTGCAAAAAAACTAGAATATGACTTTGTGGGAACAAGAAGTACAAATCTGCTCACACACCAATGAAGAGTAAAAGAAGGTAAGTGGACCTTGCGGCACTGAAAAATCTAAATTTATCAAGATCATGCCAAATTATAGACCTTTTTATCAATCTTGAATTCTATTGTTATAATTAAGACATTGGATGCCGAGGGGGCAAATATTGGAAAAATCATCGACTGCACAGCTGTCAGGGTGTCTTATTATTTAGCTTTGTGCTTTTCAATAAAGAGAGCATCTAAAAAGTCACTAAGTTGGAACAATATTCAAAACACGAAGACTTCAAAATTATTTGAAAACGTAACCCCACCAATCTATGATTTATAAATTTTCAACGTTTGTCCCGTCGGCATCCCATAATTCAAGATGGTCGCTTTATCATTAAAAAAGGTCTATTAAGGTAAATTCCAGTAGTAAGAAATGCCAATCACAGCTACCTATACAGACGTCATTCTAAGGACATCTGCGTTAAAAGGATACTAAACAGGGCTTGAAATCAGACTCGTACCCAGTCATCATTTGTTTCAGGCTTTTTTGCGTGCGGTGGCTTGCTTTTTTCTTCCGTCCTACCCCTGATACACCGGGAACTCACAAGAGAAGAGATTGGGTACAAGTCTGGCTTGAAATAATGGCCGATTAGTCGCCAGTAATGATAACCAGCATAATTAGTCTTAGCTTGGTCAAACCTCATTTCTCGCTCAACGTCATTGGTCAAAATGATAGGCAAGGCAAAGATTTGACCAGACAAGTTTCAGTTCTAGCAGGGCATTGTCTGATGACATGATTGGCTGTTTTAAGCCCTGAATATAATTTTTTAATGGTACTTTTCTATACCTGTCTTCGGCAACTCTTAAGATAAACTTTTGTCTTCTCACAGACATCGTCCAAGTCTTTCCTTTGCCTCCCTGTCAATTTCTTACCAAGAATTTCCCGCATGACCTCCTTGTCAAAACTATAATATCTGGAAAAGATCCATTGTAAATTGTTCATTCCCCATGATCATAACAACTATATAGTATAATATTATTTTACAGCGATTTAAACCTTTTATCGATAGCCAGAAACAACCTCTGGGCTGATCTAAGTCAGGGTATGGCTAACTCACAGATCAAGCCCTAAAACAACTTCTGGGCTGATCTAAGTAAGAGCACAGCTAACTCACAGATCAAACCCTAAAACAACTCCTCAGCTAAACTCACATATTGATTTTTATGGAGGAGGAAGACCAGAGAACCTGGAGAAAAACCCTCATGTCAAGGGAGAGAGGACAATTAATTCACCTTTGAATGAGCATGTCTTGAGTATCAGGTGATATTTGAACCAACAATTGTTTCCCCAGCATAAGAGGGTTCTGTAAGAAGTGTGCCAGCATGTCGAACAGGCGATAATGATCTTTAGTATCGTTAAAGATTACTGAATGACTCGCAGAATACTTTATTAGGGATTCATCATTCTCTCTTAGCTTGCTGGCTTCAAGTTCTTGAAAAAAAATGTTCGAAAAATGAAAAATTACATTGAGAATAATAATAATTTCACCTGTAACGAGAAACCTTATATTTGAATTTTTAGAGAGAAAAAGTGTAGTTTTTGTATACGTACCACTAAATCCTTTGAGCCATAATGCAAATACATCAAGATCTACATATGTTGGATCCATCATAAACACGTTTATTCCCTCCATTTTCTCGGTTTAGAAGGATAGGAAGTGCAGAATGAAAGATGATGATTATGATAACATCCTACAGTAACAGGTCCGCCATGTTATTGAATAATAGACCACAGGGAGACCAAGCAATGCATTTGTCAGCGAGTATAATATATATATTTATTATATAAATACCAATGAAATATCTATTTTTCTCTATTTCGAAAAATTGATATCTTCACACGTGAAAATAACATGTTATTTTCACGTGTGAAAATAACACCATTGCGATG